GCTAATCCGATGGACTTTGTGTTCGACGCCAATGTGACGAGCTATGCGGAACCGGATACGTATAGGAAGGAGGGCATGGAGTTGATCAACGCTCACAACTTTGACGTTTACCAGCGATGAACAAACACTCGCTCTAGTACATAGCACCTGACAGCTCAAATGATTATTCATACAATTTTCTGACAGCATGCGGTCTTGGCGACATCCGTGATTCTCCACTCTGCCGACAAGCGTCTTTGTCTCCCTTGTTTCTAATTATATAGATTGGGATGCTGGAGGTGAAGACTATAGAGTAGAAGCGAGGCGGACCAGTGATGCAACGCGACGTCGTCTTACTCGTTAGCGTGAAGCTTGGGCCAGAATCGCGGCTTCTCTCCAAGTGATTGTCATGCGGCAACGGGCTATCCGTCTGCTCAACGAGCACAATCGCATCATTCTTAGCTACCCAGTCCCAGTCGCGGAGCTTGCTAGAGCAGGATGGATGCGCCAAATCCGCCAAACGGCCAACCGAGCGCTGGCAATGGCACGCCAAATGCGATCGGCGGCGCAGCCACTATGTCCGCTCCTCCGCATCCACATGCAGAAGCGCAATCGACAACGCCCATGCCACCTACATGGTCGTCACAAATGTCTACCTTTCCCACAAATAGCGGCGCTACCGGAGGCCCAAACTTTGCCCAGTATTCGGCATCCACCGCTGCGATTCTTGAACGCCTCCAAGGAAAGAATGGACATGCCGCCGGAAGTGCTGCCTTCGAGGCGAAGCGGGCAGAGATCTTGCAGAGTTATGTTACTAGCGACAAACTACCAACGCCTCCGCCGGCTGCGAGTACTGGACGTAGAGGAAGAGGGGGGAGAGTCAGCACACCAAGTGGACTGAAGACGGAAGTTGGCGCATCACCTTCGGGCCCTTCATCTGGTCGTGCATCTGGCAGAGGGCGCGGACGGGGTCGTGGAGGGCGTGGCGGACGCGGGGGCAGAGGCGGCAAGCGGAAACGTTCCGAGAGCGACGAGGAGAGCGACGTCAGTCATTGTCGTGTGCTTTGAGACGGCATACTAACGTGGTGTAGAACGACAACGACGACTCCGATGTCTCCGACTCGTACACTCCACTACCCACACGAACCAAGTCCGGCCGAAGTATAAACAAGCCCGTCGCATTCGTACCCGTTATTCCGGAGCCAGCTCAAGGCGTTAAGCGGAGGAAGTCGACCAAGACCCTACTTGCTGCAAAGTGCAAGACCTGTCATCGAGAGACCGATCCGTCCAACAACCGGATAGTGTTCTGTGATGCGTGTAGTACCGCATATCACCAATACTGCCACAATCCGCCAATCGACAACGAGGTTGTCACTGTGCTTGAGAAAGAGTGGCTATGCGGACCATGTATACGGGCCAAGCAGACAGTCGTGGAAGGCGCACAGAATCTGATCGCGGCCGAGGACTTGACTATAGATGAGGTATGCGTATGCCATAGCGTAGGCCAGATACAGGCTAATACTAGCAGAAACGCGCATACTTCAATACGCTCCCACAAAACCAACTAGTCGGCCTCCTCCTAACAGCCACAATTCGACATCCAGAACTGCCCATATTCCCCCCCAACATAAAGAATCTCATGACAAACTTCTCCGCTATCAAGTCGGAAATGCCCCAGCAACAACAACCTTCCGCTACCCACCACTATGCTAATTATCAACCCCCACCAAACTTCAGTCTCGCCCAGATGACCTCGCCCCCAGACGGCCACACAACAACACATCACACACCGCAGTTCTCGTCGCATTCACACTCGGAGATGGACCCTGCAGAAGCACAGCTCCTTGGCGAAAGCAGCCACCAGCCGCGCACGACCATAGACCTGGCCGGCAACCAGTACGAAGAAGACGATGGTTACGACACCGATCCGCCAGCACACTACCCCAAAGCTGGCAACGGACTCGCACGAACACTACGCCCAGAGAGCGAAGACCTGAATTGGCTCGTCGACGACAACTTTGAAGTGTTTAGCCATGGGTGGAAGGGAGACGGGACGGGCATGGGCGCCGATGGTACAATGGACGCTATGGACGGACAGAAAGTAGTCTAGGATACTGCTGGAGAGGTGTTAGCAGAGAATAGTGGTGAAGAACTCACGGATATGGATGAAGATGACATTGGGCGATTAATTGCTGATGCTATAGGGCAAGCGCAAGTTTGACTCGAACCAGACTGACGCTCTTGAAGCACGCTTACACTAATACAATCCAACGACACGATCATCCAACGATCGTGTAGTCAAAGTGAAACAAGATTCGATTAAACAAAGGCGTGGTATCTCGAGAAACATAGCTAAGCAAGAAACAGGTCTGAAAGTACCCCTATTACCCATACCAGAAGATCAATAATGCAGTAAACGCCATCCATGCATGCTCTCATCATGAAGCCGTTAACGTCGTCGCTCATTCATCATCGATGCTCAATCCGCCCATTGCGCGTTCAGGATCTTCCCACTTCTTACTCTTAAGAATCCTCATCTTCTTCACAGGGCTCGCAGATCTTTGCTGCGTCTCACGCTCTTTGGCTTCCAACTTGGCCCGTAGCATCTCGTTTTCACGTTCCAGCTCATCGACCCTGTCTCTGAGTTCTGGATCTGGGTCTTCGTAAACCTTGATATCTTGTTTCATCTGTGCCTTTGTTGCTCGGATGACGACGTCGACCTTGGCATCTATGTGTGCTTGCTGGTTGTCTTGCTCGTTGTCCAGGGCTGCTTGCCATCTTCGACGTTCTTGGTCGACGGCTGCTTCCATCTCAAGATAACATTCGTCGCGAATTTCCTGTTCAAGGTCCACCATGTGGTCTTCGGCTGCGGCCCAAGACGATTCGGCTGCTTTCCGGCGAGCTGTCTCTTCGGAAAGGCGAAGGGCGAAGATTTCCATTTCTGCTGTGAGGCGTGCGATCTCGGCGTTGGCATATTCGAGCTCTTCCATGACGACCGAAGGAGTTGTACGGCCTGAAGGAGTCGCGCGGCCTGACGAAGCTGTACCAGGACGTTTGTGTGGCGCACCAGAGAAGATCGTGTCTGAGGTAGACGGCATCCGCGGCACGGTGACCTCGCGAGCCAGGGCTGAGTAGCGAAGGATCTGAGATGTGGCGTTGTAGTCGCCTTTGGGGTCTGCAGTTACGACCATGATGGACTTCTGAGGCTGGCGGTGCGATTGTGCTTGGCGGGCAGAGGCAGGGAATGAGTTTGAGAAAAGCAGTTCGGTAAGCTTGCATTGACGGAATGGCACAATGTTCTAGACGCATGTTAGTCGAAGAATTACAGACATGGATACAAATATGTACCTTAGAGCCTCCTTGGTTATCGGACTGCATCTGCATACACTGACCCAAATACATGAGGGACTCGTTGATCTTGCCAGCTTCGGCAAGTGTCTCGCCCGCAGTTTTGGCATTTCGGGCGCGTTCTGATCCTGCCAGGTCAACGATGGTGAGGTTACTGCTTGACCAGGGACCTTTGCGTTCTGCAGCCCTCTTCTTGATCTCGACATGGAAGAAGCCATGGCTTCGCGAGCTCACAGCATTGCTCCCAGTACCAGTGACTTTGCGCTCCATGAGACCAGTCTCCAGTACCATCATGGCTTCTTCGAAGCTTCCGCAGATGATCTTGGTGAGACCAGCAACAACTTTTCGATCTGGACTTTTCTCAGTATTCTTGAAGAGCAAAGCCCTTCGTTTTACGTTTGGCTGCTTGTTCTTTGCCGTGTTCCCGCTCAACAGATCGAAGATGCGGTCGTTGTATACTTCGTACATGGACATGACGATGGCATATTCTGCGTCGGGGTCTGTGGGTATCTGGATGTCGGCGACAGAAGGCGACGATGGTAGCGTTGACGGACGCGGCATCTTATTTGATTTGTACGTGCTTCCTGTGGAGAATATACTACAGTCCTGTTGTGTCTGTTAGCTGTTGTTTGTGGAAAAGTGCCATGCAGAGCTTCCTGTATCAACTTACTGCCATGGGGGTCTGCGCTCGTGAGTAGCGTCCGGACTGTTCGTCACCGTACATTGAGTCGATGTATGCGGTTGCTGTGAACATTTGCGCTTCAGACACATCTGCTGCTGCCAGTGAAGAGAATGCCGGAGCACCATAGAAGGACTGTACAAGCTGCTCGTCGCATGCTTGGAAGATAGTATCCAGCGTCATCTGGACGAGGCCGCGCTGGGACTTGGTACCAAGGATCGTATGGCTCTGTGGTCACGTCAGTACAAGAAGTCTGGGCTGCTCTTTTCCATTTATATGTACCTTGCCCGATCCAGTGCAGCCCAGGGTTGCCAGCAGTCCGTCTCGCCCGTGGTGGCCTGGTGTGCCCATGACGCCCTCAATCATGGGAACCACACCAGTGCCCTTGAACAAATCCATTTGTCGCGCATCTTCCTCAAAGACTTGTGTAAAGGCGAATCGTTCAACAGCGCGCTTGCGCTTGTCTTGGGTAGGCGGTTGTATGGTGATGTGCGTGGCATGGCTGCTCTCGCTCTCTTCGACGTTGAGGAAGCGCGCACTCCCAGAGTTGGATGGGCGCAGACGCAGAAAGACATCGAACAACGAACTCGAGGGTCGCGACGGAGGCTCCATGTTTGGTTGTGTTTATTTCGTCTTTGGAGATGCAGGCCAAGTGTCAGTCGACTGTGGTGCACCAAATCCATGTGGAGCTGCTCGTGCGCGCGCGTGTCGGTCAACATGGCCAGAACGCCGTTGCCCTGGACAACCAACGCGCCACCCATGACACGCTATGACGCAGTGACATGTGACAGAGAGCGGGGGTGCGGAGTGCAACCAGATTCACTGCTACATGGTCTGGTATCAGCCTACCCATTGGAACAGAAAACACCCCAAATATCATTAGATGTATTTCCCTGGTTGCTTTCGCGAAACATGGACAGTCTACCTGAGACCTATTGAAGATTGACTATGGCGTCCTCAGCCCAAGACATGAGTTGCAAGACCAGGAATGGATCTATGCGACAACTCCTCCACTGCGCAGACCTTCCACCTCTTCTTGACTCATACCCAGTGTTTCACCAAGTATCTCGTCCGTATGCTGGCCCAGGGTGGGTGGAGGAAGACGTATGCCAGGCGTCGAATCGGACCATTTCACGGGCGTGTTGACTAGTTTGATAGGTCCGCATGCTGGGTGATCTACTTGCTTGACCATGTCTCTTGCGAGGACTGCGCAAAGCATTAATACACAGAAAGAAACCCACACTAAGCAAAGATTGCAGACATACCGTGTTCGTGGTTCAGTGTATCCTGTACGTCGTTGATAGCAGCGTATGCTATATTCGTTAGTCAAGAACAATTGGGCATATAGTTGATGGTACTTACGCATTCCGCTTCCCTCTAGCAAGTTTAGCAACTCCTGTGTACTCTTCTTTCTCGTCTCTCTTTCAATAAGTTCCTCCAATTCATCCCTGTGTTGAACCCTCAACGCGTTCGTCTTGAATCTATCATCAATAATCCATTCAGGCTTTCCCAGCTTGTTACATAGCACACCATACAGTCTATCGTTACCTCCTCCCAGCAGGATATCCCCGTCAGATGTCTTGAAGGCTTTATACGGTACGATCGACGGGTGTGAGGTCCCCCAGCGCCCAGTGTCGCGCTTCCCACTAATGAGGCAAGAGCTGGCGATATTTGCTAGTGTGGCAACTTGGCAATCTGACAAGGCGACGTCGATATGTTGGCCCTTGCTGCTTGGGTTTCTCAGGCGCCGGAAGAGAGCAGCGATGATGGAGTTGGAGGTGTAGAGACCGGTCGTGAGATCGGTTACTGCTACGCCTACTTTTACAGGTGGCCCATCACGAGCTCCAGTTATATGCATTAGACCCATTTCGCTGAGAAGTGTTAGCATCAGTCGCGCTAAAGAAACATAGGGTCGGAAAAATGTACGCTTCAACCATGACATCGTAGCCTGCTCTGTTTCTGTACGGTCCAGTCTGTCCGTAACCTGTGATGCTGGCGTAGATGATACCCGGATTGATCTTTGAGACGGTGTCATAGTCCATGGCGTACTTTGCCAGAGATCCCGGGAGGTAGTTCTCAACGAGCACGTCACATTCCTTGACCAGACGATGTAGAATGTCTACACCAGCTGGATGCTGGAAGGACAGACCTATCGACCGCTTGTTGCGATTGACCTACTCTTGGTGAGTTTAAATAGCCAGGGGTTCACGATTACACTGACGCCCAGGTAGTATGCACTCTCTCCCGGCCCTTCTTGCTCATCGGTGTACTTGGCGTAGGGCGGCCCCCATGCTCGTGTGTCATCTAGGCATAGCAATTAGTTTGGAAAAAGTATCATGATGTATGCCTCCGCTTACCTCCCCTTGTTGGATGTTCGATTTTGATCACGTCCGCTCTATCACATTGTCAATCTAGGAATCTTGCAGAATGCCAACCTCGGTTGTTGGTCCGTACAGGGTCATCCGTCGCATACCCAAGATCACCTAGTATTTGCGTGCAATACGGCTGCTGAATATTAGAAGGATTTGTCGTCGTTTCATAAGCTACGACTTACTCCAGCGAGCACTCTTGTCATGTCAAGGACTTTGATGCCGGCAAGAGGTAGATTAGATGCATCTGCACTCGATGCCGCAGTTGCTAGTTGTCGAACATGGCCAGGTCGTGTTCGATTGGACCGCAAAGCCGACAGGCTTGTCTGGAAAGCACAGCTTGAGCGTCTCAATAGCATGTTTGTCATTTTAGGTTGGAAGAAGGTACAATCACGACATGTGCCTGGTGACGGAAATGTTTCCACGGCATAGCTAGGTGTTCCCGAAGATGAGCTAGCCAGTTCCGAGGCTCATCGTTAGCTGCAGAACCCCACCAACTTTCTTTCTCCAATTACCCACACCCCACCATGTTTACTGGTCTCGTTGAAACCATTGGCAGTAAGCAACGATGCATTGTCCTTTGCGTTCGGCTCAGCTGATAGTGGCTAGCTGTTGCCGCCCTTGAGAAGCTCGACCAGACGGCCTCGGGAGGCGGCGGGACATCGTTGACCATTTCCGGATGTGAAGACATACTGGGTGACGCCCATTTGGGTGACAGTATCAGCGTCAATGGTATGCTCGCACTAGTCTGATGGAACTCATGGTCTGATTCGGCTAGGAACCTGTCTCACCGTCACCGAGTTCACCAAGTCGTCATTCAAGATTGGATGCGCTCCCGAAACACTCCGGCGCACAAACTTGGGGTCGCTGCAAGAGGGCTCCAAAGTCAACCTGGAGCGCGCTGTCTCTGCAGACACGCGCATGGGCGGCCACTTCGTCCAGGGTCATGTCGACACCATCGCCACCATCGAGTCCGTCACGCCCGACGGCAACGCCCTGACTTTCCGCTTCAAACCTCGCGATACTTCGGTGCTACGATACATTGTTGAGAAGGGCTATGTTACCATAGACGGAGCTAGCTTGACTGTAACCAAGGTGCAAGATGGGCCTGAGGGTTGGTGGGAGGTCATGTTGATTGCCTATACCCAGGAAAAAGTAATCACGGCTGGCAAGAAGCCAGGCGACGATGTCAACGTCGAGGTAGACCAGGTCGGCAAATACGTGGAGAAGAGCGTGGCTGGATACTTTGAGGGATCGTCAAACGGCGAATTTGCGATACTGGAGAAGATGGTTTCAAAATTAGTCGACGAGAGACTGAAGGCTCTTGGGAAGTCATAGACACGCTTGTTGGACAACCAGCAACTGCCAAGTCAATAGATTGGCCGTCAATGCCGTAGAAGTCATGGTCCCACACTAGTAGCCAACCAGAACAAAACAATGCGCTTCGACTGTACACATGGTTGCCTTGAAAGGGGCTCATGGGGATGACTTGCAGCCCCATTGTGGTGGCTTGGACAAAGTGAGGCGCAGCTTTGCTCCTTTTCCAGCACGTATATATTGAGATGACTATCCAGTATTTATCTTGAAACACTCGCAGTCATTTTGCGCATGTCCCTTCAAATGGCAAAAACTTGAGAGATTGTGATTTATGTCTGGCCGTTGCTACCTAGCTCGCGCGTGGTGCCTTTGTGTCTGTCAATCAGTTGACAGCTGTCAAGCCGCACGTCTTCACGTAACCACAGCTTCGACATCTCTATCGACTGTTGAACGACTATTGCTTACATTGCAGGACTAGTCCATGCCATAGTGGAGCAAGTTAGGCAGAAAACCGTTCCGCAGCGCCAGTAGCCGACATGCAGACGAACGATGTCATCAAGTCGGATGCACTGGACACTTCGATATTCATCGTCACGCGAATCGGTATGATGGAAAGGATCTTCTTCTCCTGACAGCGCAGCGCTGCAGCCGTTGTGCCGGAGTGGCGCCTCCGGTTGTCCAGAATAGCATGTTACCCCAGCATCGCAGCACAATTGCGTACAGAAAGCCGGCACTATGGAATTCCAGTCCCTAAAATTGGGGGCCAAACTGGTTGAACAGAAAAGTTGTGTGAAAGAGGAAGCGAGGACTGCGGGCTACATGCAGGCTTGGTAAGGGATTTTGTCGGCATAGGTCATTGGCTTTCTCACCGGCGAGCTGCTGCATAAACACGTCAAGAGCCGACCCTCCTCAAGCGCGCATGCCACCAGAGGTCTACCCCAGACGCTCAACTCGTAGCACCATCGCTTGAGCGACTTCTTGTCCCTTTCTCGCCGATTCTCAGGCGTCTAAAGCATGCGTTGCTACTAATCTTTCGTTTCGGCTATCTACCCTGGCACGCACTCCATCATGGACTGGCGACTTCTCGACTACGCCAAGGAAGCTGAAGAGACCGCAGCAGGCCTTCTCTCGTTTGAAGGAGAAATTCCGCAATATCGCAAGGACATCAGAAGCCATATTGCTGAACTATTCGCCATATCGCACGCTCTGCATGAATTGCACGATGCATTGCAATTGTCCCGCTATGGCAGGTACGCAGGCCACATCCTGAAGGATCTAGAGGTTTGCCTTCCAAGCTTGGGCTACACGCTTGACGACGTGCAAGATATCTTCAATAGGTCCAAGAAGAGCAGACACGCTGCACCAGGTGCTTTTCCGGGCACACCACCATACGCAATTATCTGGGAAGATGCGCTTGCGGATTTCACCTCACAGGGCATGTCCCTGCCCAAAAGATTCGAGACCTTTAGAACGTATCTACAGGGTATGCATGATGCTTTGAAAGGGTAGGTACTAGTAGAAAGGCACTCTAACAGAATGGCTAACTGGCTCCAGGGAGGATGATGAGGCAGAATTGGCTAAATTCAAAGTTCTACTATCAAGATTACTCAAGAAGCAAAAGCCAATGCCGGTCGAATCCTACTTCAGTAGACTTTCGGTACACGGCAATGGGAAGGGCGTTGCTAGGACGCCGCAGCCGCCTTCTCCTAAAGTACCCAGACCGAAGATACACCAACACCCTACGTATCCGGCGCCTCAGTACGCATATCAAGCACCGCAGCTACCACTACCCCATCGATCTCATATTGCACCGACGTGGGGAGGCATAGGAGACATACCGTTCGTCCCACCACCGGTTCCAGAGATCCCTCAGTCGCCCACATATTCGTCTGCATCATCACAGGCTTATTCAAGTCAGTCGACAGACTCTGAGCCGGTCGCTCACTGGGCAATGAAGATATTCGATGGTCGCCACGGTTCCACTCCTTTCCAAAGCCCTGCAGAGCGCACCAAGTGCTTTGGACGAGACGAGCCCCGAGTAATTGAGATGCTAGATAGCGATGGCTTTGAGAAGGTCTTGGAATTACCGTTCGAAGCAACAAATGTCTGGGTAAGGATATACTGGAGAGCTGATGACAACCGCGCACGAATACTCTTCCTCACTATGGATCCCGACGGACATCGCCTGAGACACCAGATCCCAATCACCGCATTGGCACTCCGGCGTGCAGGATCATCCTTGCGGCTCTGCCGGGTCAACCGTGAAGATGGTCGACTTGACCTATGGGCTAGGTTGCGCTTCCCTTTATATGAGCGTGAGTAGACTTGAACTGATGATGCAAAATATTCTGACATTCTCTTAGGCATGGTGTTGTTTTACTGCACCGCCATTGCTATGAAGCGTCAAGATCAAACCGGTATTGCAGAGGGACTGGAAGATGTTTTCGTGCCCGGGGAGAAGATTGTGTTTTCTGGGTAAGTGGGCAGTCGTGGCTTCCTATCTCATGCTGACGCTGTTCAGTGAGACGACTGATAACAGGTATCTCCATGCCTTCCGCATCTACTATGACACAGACTCTGGCTGCGTACGATTCGAGGCTACTGCTCGCCGTGGGCCGCTAAACACGATCCCTATCTGGACTGCATTCGTTACGCAATATGTTGGACGTAGCGACTGGATGAAGCGCGTTGGTCCCGATACAATCCAGTTTGAGAAGCTGCATCCGTATGTTTTCAGTGATGGCTACAGGCTACCCAAAGGCTCTACGGGCAAATACCGGTTGACCTTTACTTCATCAGAAGGTACGTCACTTTCATGCTGCTTACACCGGTGACCGGTCGAAACTGACATGTTGGCTAGATGCGAAGCATTTCAGAGACAGTTTCCATAGCATCCGAGTCTGATCGGCTTTGGGATAAAGCCAGCGCAGCACTCTTCCCTTGACAGACCTGTCCGACACTCGCTGATACATGACGACGTTACGAACAAAACTCATTCACGACTAACGACATGACCTAAACGAAAACACACGACGTAACGACAAGGGCGGTTTCTGCTTTCTGGCACGATATACCCCTCTCAGTGCTTTCTCTAATTCGATCTCACAAATTGCCACGTATCTCTTAATTCTACAAGTAGCTCCACTGTATTTATTGCACTTAGTATAATGGTTCAGAAACGTTGTTTTGCGAGGCGTGGAATCAGCAGTGAAAAACGAAATCGTCGTGGTGTCATGCCTCTTTAAGCCTAGCTTCCAAAGTCTCAGATGCCCCGCTTTCCGAGATTGAGACCCTGGTGTTGAGTCTGTGCTTGGTACTACCAAAACCAAAATTTCCCTATCCTAACTTTTGACCGCAACTGCGCCAGTTTCTGTTCCCTCACTTTTGTTTAATCACAATCCACCTCCTTCTCCTATCCGAATACCAACATGGCGAACCAACAAGAAGCCGGAAAGAAGGACCCCCTCACGGGCATGGCGCACTCTGAGGCGCATTACTTCAACAGGTAGGCATATTTCGAGGGTCCAGATACACGCAGAGTTTCGCTAACATTGTTGCCTGCAGTTACAACCACCATGGTCCGTACCGAGTCGCTCCGATGATATGACTGATACTAATGCGCGTGTCAAGGCATCCACGAGGAAATGCTGGTACGACAGCCCCACCCTGCCCTCTCAGGCTGCTCCTCGCAGCGATTGCGACGCATGGCTAACGGTGCGCGTTTAGAAAGATGAGGTGCGAACCAAGAGCTACCGCGATGCCATCTACCAGAACCCCCACCTTTTCAAGGACAAGGTCGTCCTTGACGTTGGATGCGGTACATCCATTCTCAGCATGTTTGCGCACCCCACCCTATAGCACGCGAGCATGCGTTGATACAATGGTTTAGGTTCGCCGTAAAGGCCGGCGCAAAGCATGTCATTGGTGTGGACATGTCGACCATCATCGACAAGGCCAAGGAGATTGTCGAGGTCAACGGCATGTCGGACAAGATCACCCTGCTCCAGGGCAAGATGGAGGAGGTCGTACTACCTTTCGACAAGGTCGACATTATAATATCCGAGTGGATGGGCTACTTCTTGCTCTACGAATCCATGTTGGACACGGTTCTGTACGCACGCGACAAGTACCTTGTCAAGGACGGCTTGATCTTCCCCGACAAGGCCACCATCTTCATGGCTGGTATCGAGGATGGCGACTACAAGGAGGAGAAGATTGGATGTAAGCAATGCACAACTCCGACTCTCATAAAATTTTGCTGACTCAAGCAGTCTGGGACAACGTCTGGGGCTTCGACTACTCTCCCCTCAAGGCAACCGCCATCACCGAGCCCCTCGTCGACACCGTCGACATCAAGGCCGTCGTCACCGACCCCTCGCCTGTCATCACCCTTGATCTCTACACTTGCACTGTCGCCGACCTCGCTTTCCGGTTACCGTACGAGCTCAAGGTGCGTCGTAGCGACTTTGTCCACGCCGTCATCGCCTGGTTCGACATTGAGTTCGCCGCCTGCCACAAGCCCATCCGCTTCTCCACCGGTCCCCACACAAAGTACACTCACTGGAAGCAGACAGTCTTTTACCTCAAGGATGTGCTCACAGTCGAGGAGGGCGAAACCATTAGCGGCATTCTAGAGAACAAGCCCAACGAGAAGAACCACCGCGATTTGGACATTAACATCTCATACAAGCTCGAGTCGAGCGATATGCACAGACAAGCGTCTGGCGAGGCCCAGTACAAGATGTGCTAGTTGGTGTCTTGCGTGTACAGTGAGATTTGGGACGGCGTCACTACCGTTCGGGCAATGAGACGCCTGTGTCTTACATGATAGACTTAATCGGCGTTTGGGCAAGGGTTTCGCATACCAAAAATTTAGGGTAGCATGAGCATGTGTGAATGAGTTACGAAGCAGGGACCAATCTATCATTGGGAATTCCTCCCCTACAACCAATATTGCTGTCCTCGACTATGAGACGTGATGTATGAGCCAAGACTTCCAACTATGCATGAGCGACAGATGAGAGATACAGGTACCATTGGAAGAAGGCTAAACTCCGTTACTACGATGCTATGTTACGCTTGCAAGCGGGGGTATATATGTATGCAAAGCTTAAATCCCAATAATGCTCCGCTTCTAACTGCCTAGCCAATATGGCTGCGAAAAAAAAGCTCTCAAGTACGCCGTGCATGATTACCATGATATCCAGTAGACCTCTTCGCCAATGAAGCTCAACCTAAATCGCCAATCTTCTGATATACTTGAACCGAAACTGCCCACAATACACTGCCGTTCACTTCTAGTAGTCGTAGCTTTCATTACCAAACCCTTCATCGTCGTCTTCCAGGTAGTTGTGCTCCAAATCTTCTTCCTCTTCTGCCTCTTGCATCCCCTCCTCCTCCTCCTCTTCTTCTTCTTCCTCACCCTCCGCATCAACGTTTGTAGCCTGCTGTACAGCACCTGGTGCGTTGGAAGACGGACTGGCACCCTGTCCACTACCAGATGGACTCGCTGAAGTTTGGCCACCGGGGAATAGCTCCTTGAGCCGATCGTAGTTGATGTGATTACTGAAAGCTTTGGCGCGCTTCTTAAGCATCTTGTGAGCAGCGTCCGCTGCACTAGTTGCCGGCTGGCCTTCAAGAACATTACCGTCACCCATTTGGTGGTGTTTGCGCTTCTGCTTGGGTTTCTTGGGCTTGTCTTCCGCGGCTTCAAGTTCGGCTTCCAACATCTTCGTCTGTTGGGCGCGCAGCCAATCTTCGTTTTCCGTGATCCAGATAGCTTCCTTGCGGCGGACTTCTTCCGGGGCAAGGATGCAGGTCGCAACGTCTGGGTCATCATTGAATTCGTCTTCACCGACTTCAGGATCCAAACTCACGGGGACGACATCGCGGGTGTCAGCAGCAACGCGGGCCATCTCTGCTGCTGTCCAACCAGAGCGCCTAAGAAGCTCGTGGTCTTCGCTGTTGGCGATCTCCTTGAAGATACCCTCCCAATCCTTGATGGTGCTTGTGACTTCATCCTCCAGATCCTGCTCAATTTCAAGATCTTCTTCGTCGATGACGACGGGTACCCGTTTCTTTGGTGGTCGGCCACGCTTCTTGGGCATGACAAAGTCTGGATCGGTGGTCTCACCAGCCTCAAGTTCTTCAACTGCAGAAGCAACCGACTCCACGACCGCCTCGTTGTTACCATCGAACGCTTCTATTTCAGCGGACGGATCGCTGTCCTGTGTGTCAAGGGTTTCAGTTTGTGTTCCGGCCGGCTGAGACGAACCATCATTCGACTTGCGCCTCTTGCTTGTGCGTTTTGGTGCTGTATCCTCGCCTGGTTCAACTTCGCTACCGGCTGACTCGTTCTGTGGGGGTGCAACATCACTTCCTTCACGGGCCCGTTGCTTCTTTTTCTCCTTGCGCTCTTCCTTCTCTGCGCGCCTCCAGATGGCAGGAGGCTGAGCCTTAACCTTGAGGCGGGGTCCAAACTCTCGGAACTGATTGACCGTCAGAGCCGCGCTCTGTGTTCTCTTGTATTCGTATAAGCGGGATGTGATGGTAGAATCGGCGACCTTGACTACGTAGACGACCTCTCGAATGGTTCGACGGAAGTTGTTCATACGGGCGGCTATGATGATACAAGCACCGCAAAGCCCAGCCGGCTGACGACCTTGTACCATCCAATCTCGATTCATTCGCTTGAGGACCTTACAGGCGTCGTCGGCAACTCTGTGAGAGTCATCTCCAAACTCCAGTTTTCGACAGTACTTTAGCATCAAAGGCTCGATCTCCTGGACGGCCTTGGTGCCCACAAGCTGTGCTGGATCCTCCTCTTTTAGCATCTCCAGAAATTGTTTGTACGTATCTCCCAAAGCCCAGACGTTTGTTTGAATCTTCTCGGCCAAGTCGATAAGCATAAGCGTATTCTCGGGTTGTCTCCGCGCAGCCATGTAGATGGAGACAGCAGCGACGTTCCTCATGCGGCGACCTTGAATGAATCTATGGTTCATGGCGAGCTTGTACCACATGAAGGCTTGCTCTATGACGGCCTCGCGCTGATTGAGAGATGCGCCGAGAGCTTGGATAGAATTTTTGCCACTCATCGCAGCCTGTTCCCTGCTCTCCATGCTGCCCAAGCCTCGCATAGTCCCGCCCATGGAGTTTGCATGTCGCTGGTTCGCGTGGATGAAGCCACCCTCGACAATGGCTGCTCCGCCCGAAGTTTCGCCAAAAGTAACCTCGGAGACGATGTTGCTTTCGTTGTGGACATGACCGCAGTTGTAGCACATGACTTCATTGTCTGAAGTGTCGATTTGGGGGTCGGAACAGCAAGTGTATGTGCGTTTGGCGGCTTGGGGCGCAGCGACCTGAGGCGCCTGTCTTCGTTGCGTTGCTTTGGACTGGTAGTGATAGGAATCGTTGAGGCCCCGAAGCCGCTGGACCGGCGCCCTTGCGACCTGGGGTGCCGACATTTTGCGTGTACTCGGATATGTGGCGTGGGTGCAAACGAGTGTTGAGTCGACTCGGACAAGAAACTATTGAGGGTAAGAAATAGAGTCGAGCCAGCACGAATAAGACGCGGTACCGCGGGAGGGGCAGCACTAGCCATGACTGGCGCCAAGTGGGGTACGCTTTCCCTGTTACGGCCTTGAGCTCTGCACCTTGAGCTGCGAACACCCAGCCAACACGGTGACTTTCACCCTAGTCACAGATGTACACATCGGGCTCTCGGTCGTAGGGACGGTTTCATGTGCATCGCAATGCAGCTTCACGATGGAAGCGAACCGATATGACGTTCTTCTGCGCCTGCATACCATTTCTTCGATTGCAATGCACCGCCAGCGTGTCCACATACTCGGGCATGTTTAGGTACATAGCTTTCAGATATAGGCCAATCTAGCAGGATGCCATCGACATGTAACCTTTGAGTACTCCTGACAAATCGTCCAAGTCAACCGATACCTCCTTGCGCGGTACCTGCAGCAAAGCAATAGCAGTGCAACGCTTGTGTGCCCTCATCCCGGGGCTCCAATGCGGGTGATGACCACATGGCCAATGATTGGCTAACCACAACACACCCGAACAGCCCGAACTAAGCCATTGAGCAAAAGCCCGCAAAAGCCCTGGTTTCCCAGCCTCCTTGATAGGGCTTGCGTAGGTTGTGTGTATTTCATCCGGGCCCCCGTCTCTGGGCCCCCGCTCGCAAGCTTCTCCATAGCTTCCAGCTCTCGCCCTACCCCAAAACACTACTTTGACCTACCAACTTTTGCCAATTTGCCCCAGAACAATACCATGTCTACAAGAAAGAGGAAGAACGAAGAGGAGGAGCTTGTCGCCCTCCCAAGTGACGAGAGTGATGAGGAAGAAGAGTAAGTGAGCACTTCCTTGACGTCATGGCTCTGTACCTCCCGTCGCATGCACCTTTCTTGCTGGCATTGAACCGCTCTTTATCATTTGAGCGAATTCATGCCTTTGGTCACGCTTCCAAGCTCTACCCAAGTTTTGCATACATCGAAGCGACGTTGCGAGCTTGCTGAGTGACCGGAACAATTGACATGATCGCGCTCCGCAACAACGCTCCGGATAGCCCCAATTTGGCGTTCCCCTTCGATGCCCACGTCGGTCACAATGTGAATGCTTGTGATCGCAAGCCAATGAACGTCCTCATCTATGAAACAAGATTAACATTCCGCCTCATAGATACGCCGAATCTGAAGGCTCAAACTTCAATTCCGACGACTCTGACGCCGAAGAGCCCCGTAAGTCATTTCCATCCTTCAACATCCTTGTATCTCATTTCATCTGACATGGCCACAGCACCCAAGAAGAAGACCAAGCGCACCAAGCCCAAAGACGATGAGGATGACGAAGACGAGGAGGAGGAAGACGATGTAAGCGACGATGATGATGACGATGCCGCGGTGCCTGAGGAAGATGACGATGACGATGAGGACGCCAATCCCAAAGCCAAGAAACCAGCTGGCGCAGAGAAAGATCGGAAAGTCAAGACGACAGGCAAGGCTGATCCCGTACCTGTGGTCGACGATGATGACGACGACGAGTAGAGATGTAATGCCAACATGCGTAGTAGCCATATAGCAACCCTGGCTGGCGAGATAGAATGTAATGGGCTTCGACTGAGAACTTTGTTCAATTCACATCTAAATTCATACTACGTAATAATTTCCTGTTGAAAGTGCTGACTTTCTACACCCATCTTTGATACCTCTTTGTCTGGCGGAACTCCTGCTTCCACTGTGTGTAACGTTCAGACCTCTTTTGCGCAGCCGTCGCGTTTCTTGGAGGGATACTATCCCACGAAACAGCGTACGTAGCCGTCATGTGCGCAATAGCCTTGGTGAACTCAATCCAAGCATCCAGGTTCAGGTTGTTGACTGTATCACCGTCCTCGTGGTAGTTCACATCGTAAGGTACGCCAGCACCGCCACCAAACATTTCGGCTTCTTCTTCAGTCTTGATGCCTTCAGCTCCGCCTGCGATTCCACCAGCTGCGATGCCAGCTTCAAGGAAGGGACCATAATCCGAACGACCATCGAATTCTATCTCAGTGTGGTTGAGACCGATGCTGTCAAAGTACGCAGCAAACTCGTGCTCAGCCTCGGCGGATCCAGTAGGACCGCTGAGGTTGTAAGCGGAACCATCGCCATCGTAGATCTGATAGGCAAAGTTGGGAGATGCCATCATATCAAAATCAAGCATGAGACGAATCTTGTCCCTCTCGTCTTGAGGCAGCTCATGCACGTAGTATTCGGCGCCTAGCAGACCAGCCTCTTCCGCAGTCCACCAACTGAATCGCACGGCGTTGTTAACAGTATAGTTGGTAAGTTGGAGAGCAATCTCCAGAATAGACATAGAACCTGAACCGTTGTCGTTGATACCTGGACCGGCTGTAACTGAGTCGGAGTGACCGCTAACATGGATGACATTGTCGTGGTCACCAGCCTTAGTCTCAGCAATAAGGTTGCGAGTGTTGTAGACGGTAGCGTTTGTCCACATATCCACGGTGATGTCCACACCAGCTTCAAGTTGGGCGAGAAGGGACTCTCCTTGGCCAAGGGTGATGCCAGCAACAGGGACGAAATCGCCCTCAGGGTACAAGACTTGCAATGAATATCCTTCAAGAGTACCCTCAGCGTTATTCCATGCCACGACGCCGAGAGCACCTTTAGCAGCTGCGAGTTGCACCTTCTCACCATATGAGCAGTTACCACGCTGGATCAAAGCGAGGGAGCCCTCGAGGGTTTCAGGGAAGTCCTCCTAGGTAGTGTTAATGTTGCTCGTGAAGATGCAGTAATTTGTCTTACCTCATTACATCCAAGACTAGGGATAGCAACAAGCGGGCCGGTCACATTACCACCTGGAGCAAGCGTCACAGCGAAAGCCTCGATAGTCTTGTTGTTGGCGCTGAGGGTGGCATTATACCCAATGGAGAGTGGCACATCTTGGGTATATACGTCGTAATAGTCTGAGAACGCTTCAAGTTCCCCTTTGATGTATTCGACCGTGTCTTCGTGGCCCTGGCTGCCAATGACGCGATTCTTGCCGGGGGTACTGTATGCAATCTCTTGGAGCTTCTCTGCTCTTGCGTACAAGTTGTCGATGTGAAGAGCGTTACGCAGAGATTGCTATTGCGCGAATTAGTGGAGAGAAGAGCATGTTGTCATAAATCGCATACCGAATCGACAAGCGTCTTGTACTGACGAGGCTGGATAGCTGCGGCATCTACTGCTGCAGCGCATGCAGCAGCCACGGCGATTGACTTCAAGACAGCCATTGTAGTTGAACAGTGAGCAATGAAAGGCAGTGGTTTTTCGCAACTTGCCGGGTACGTTGCGCAATTTATGCTTGTTACCATCTCTCCATCGCTGTGTCCGGCCCAGCGACCAGGAACATAGATCCTGCTGACGTCTTTGCATACTGTGCTCTTTCGACCTGCTGCATACGGACAAGTTGAGCCGGTAATATATGAAGCTTACGCTGTACCCGCCAATAACGGAGTGGAGCCGAGCGAAGAAGCACACGAGCCATGTCAAGACGTGATAAGAGGCCTTGGTAGGCTTGAAAATGGTGTCGTGCCAAGGATGCCAAGAGCCACTTTACTCTTGTTGTGGTCTTGAAGGAGGAGAATCTTGTCTAAAAGACGGCTGGCGGTAGCAAACCGGACGCCAGTGGAGTTGGAAGTCGATCCAGGCCGAGAGGCCGAGCACGAGAACCGAGCTTGAAGATAGTGCAGTTATGTGATGTACAGTTCGAAAAACGTCTTGCAGATGGCAGATGGCAGATTCGGCGGCTGTTGAGCTCGGGGCCAGGTATGATGGGCGGGGATTCAAGCGAACCTTGGAAGACTGTTCTTAGCGCATCGCCACGGACCCTGCTGTCTCGGTACCTACTGCGCGTTGCGCTCCCGAGGTCACTACACTACAGCGACTTGTGAGATGGATACACAATCTAGACAGGTATTGTCTCCGCCGGCCACTCCTTCGACAGATTGCGCGTGTTCTGCATCGGGTGCCAACGTGATCACAACCGCCTCCAGCTACGACATGGTCCCAGCGGCAAATGCTGGTGCTCACAGCACGGAACCTGACCATGCGGGTAGTTTCGAAGGACTCCCCATGGCACTGAATCCATACATGGACGACATGCTTTGTCAACCGACATTCCACCTCTTCATGGAACTACCCATCGTACGAATATTATCGCGCTCATGGTTTGGTGTTCATACACTAACTCTTGTGTATCGCTAGGAACTGCGTTGCTTGGTTTACGATCAGTACTTCTTAGAAGAAAAGAGTTCGATAGCCTGTCGGAACTGGCCTCACTTGCAATTCTCTCAAGAGTACGAGCGTTCGATCCGACTCAAAAGGAGGACTGCTCCGTTTCTTCCCTCTCTTTGCCTTGTCAACAAGAAGCTGCAAAGTGAACTTCTCCATTGTCTGTTGGAGGCAGCTCATTTCGAATTTGACGATGGTGTAGTCCTTGGTCGTATCCTGGTCTTGTTGGCCGACTGTTCCTTGCGACTCCATCTTACAGTCCGAAAGGCTACAATAGGAAACGTTAATGGACAACGGAAGCGCCTTCTTTTCGGATCTGAAAACAGAGAAAGCCAAACTGATGCTCGTAAACTTGCGCAAGAATGTAACAACCTCTTGTGTTCTACGATGCCATACTTGCCAGAACTTCGCGAGCTCAATCTCAAACTGTACGCGCCATTACTGTTTGGGGACACACTCTGGAACGGTTTCCAAATTACACCTATATATTCACTTGCAGTGGATAACTATCTATGTGGTTTCGAACTGGATGCCATCCTTGGTTTGGGCAGACTGGAAAAGCTTAGCATCACAGGCATCAGTGGCGATTGCAACAAAATTGACCAGATCAATCGTACCGGCAACATTATCATCGACGATGGTAAGTCGAGGAACCTTACAGCCATCCTGGACCTCTGTGAACAGATCAAACATGGTTTCATTATACAAAAACGCAGCGTGGTGATCAGAGCTCATCTTCGATATGCCGTCAATAAGGGTACAGAGGAAACACTCGGGTGATACAAGGAGATGACACCGAGCCAGATGGTACTACAGGATAGCGAGACAGGACGACGTGAGACCAAGCGACGTTGATGGGCTGGGTTACCAAGGTGCTTGCGCTAACTGCTTTGGGCAAAGCATAGCTAGCCCGAAGTCAGCGAAGTGTCTACGAATAACAACTCTCGAGGTATTTGATGCATCAGACATATACTCTACTCGTTAGATCGTGACAATGCATGCGAAGTCCTCTATGTATACATAATATCTTGCTGCTGTTAGTGTCAAAGCACGTTCATTGCCATACGTTGCCAAATAAGCAGACCACAAACACTTGAGAAGCGCGGTACTCCATTCAATTTCTCATCGAATATCAAAACGTCACGATGGTAATTGTAGTGCCTCAATCTTTGCACTAGATCCCCGTCCTTCTATCAGTTCAGACAGAACAAGCCCAGTGCCGGGCGCATGTGATATACCCCAAGCACCATGGCCCGCCGCTATATAGACACCTCCATTCTCTCCGTCTTTGGTCTTGGTGCCTCCAAGCTTGTCGTCTGGTATTCGCGATACGATAGGTCGACCGCTGGACGTGACTGGACGGAAGCACTACCTCGAAAGTTAGTATATGTCCAGAATCCTACCCCTAGGATAGTGACGTACCAAGCCTTCTCTCAAGACCTCCATGTCCTTTCCCGGAACATTCATCATCATAGCTTTTGCGCACTGTCTCAACTGGGCAATGGCCTTGTCGTTAGCCTTGACATCCGTCGCAACATCTGGTAGTGGTATGCTTGTGCTATTCAGTCCTGCCAGGTACAGTTCTCCACCCAGTCTCGCAAACCATTCTGGCGAGAAGCCAAGTGTATCTGTTGCGAAGACTGCGTGGCAGACTTCCTTATCGAGCTCTTCGGGTTTGTGGTGTGGATTTCGGACGAGCAGCGAGTGGCCAGCTAACGAGGAAACAGGGATGCGTGCTTTGGACGACGGAAAGAGGGTGCTGAAAACACGAGGAGACCAGGCGCCAGAAGTGATGACGAGGCGAGTACACGACACTGTTACAGATTGTCAGTCGCTATGTGAAAGTCGAAGTTGTCGACTGGGATCTTACACTCTGTGTCCGACTCAGCGTCATCGCTCGTTGAGATCCTCAAGCCGCATAAGACGTCGTCGGCGTCTTTGATGATTGCTGTCGTCCTCGCAGGCTGGTGTATCCGTACTCCCCTTTCTTTGACCTCTTTAAGCAGCCATTGGCAGAATCTCAAGGGATCGATCTGTGCCGTAGTACCATCCCGACTGATGACCTCCATGATGCCTTCCTGTGTACGCCGAAGCCATTCCGGGCCGGCAGCCTGCTCTTCCCAGGGCTTGTTGTGGTTCGCTAGCTGTGCTCTGCTCGTCCCATTCTCAAGCCAGTCCTCGCCGCTGCCGCCGATGGCTGACTCGCTGTCTTGCGAGAGGGAGATGCCAGTCGACTGCGAGTAACCCCATGTTGAGCGTCCAGAGTGCGCATTGGCAAGGTCGGCGTGAAGCTTGAAGGACAACGCGCCAAGCGAAGATACCGACGGGGCGAACCCTGATTTGTAGTCAGATAATGCGATCAGGGTATAGATGACGCGCCGCGCCCATCCCAGACGCGACGGAAGCTTCCCATACGTACAGTCAGCACTGAGGAACCCCGCAGCAAGGCCAGACGCGCATTGGAACAACTCCGGACTTGAATCAATCAGGTGAATTGTCTTTGGGTCTGTCGCTCCACTCTCTGTGAGGTAGTACGCGGTACACAAGCCGATGATACCGCAGCCCAAGATGGCAATGTCGTTGGTGTTTTCCCCGCAGGAACTATAATCTACACCTGGCATACTGAACTTCACGCCTGGCAAATCGAGGGACAACGTAACAGCGAAACGAACAAGTCGACGCCTCCATGCCCGAGCCGCCCGCCGCCAGACCTTTAAAGGTGCCAATAACTCCTCTTCGTCTAGGCTGGCGCACAAACGCCGTCTCACATCACAGCATAATCATCATGTGTTGGATCATGTTCCTATCCACCTCCGACGCAAAACATCGTACGAGCTGTTCCGCATACCTTTGCTGATCCACTCCGCACCCTAGTCGACGTCCCAAACTCGGGTAAGTAGCATGACCGACATGGCCTGATTTTCTCCAGAACACCCTCTGGAGCCCGGCCTTCCGCCGCTTTAGATTACCGCTGGTCCGACTAACTGATGCAAGACTCGGATCATCTGCACACTTTGACGTCCATTGTACGTCCGGCTATTGGATGCCATCGTATCATCACGAGAGTTAAGGAACGCGAAACCCCTGCATCGCATATATGGGACAAGCAAGAAGACGCGTACATTGAAGAGCTTGTGTGGTGCATTGCTAGCTACAGAGACTCTATTGATGGAATGATGCTGTTTTCTACGAATGATGCCGCATGTATCCTTCCTGTTCTGTCATCCTCACACTTTTTACGGCCCGACCCAGCGATCCTGACCGACCTTGCATATTGACCCGCGTACTTGGTGATCTATGCATTGCCACGAGGATTGAGCATACCCTGGACAGGCTTGTAGTCCTTGAAATGGCTTTCGGGTTGCTCATGCGCCTCGGAGATTGCTGCGTCACCCACGATAGCCTGTCCAAGAAAGTCTGTATCAAGACCGTGACGATAGGTTTTCTCCCACAGCCTGCGAATGATTGTGGGAGCTTCATTCTCATGGTCTGAGAATGCTCCAGGGATGCTTGTGGAAGACACGTCTGCCATCTCAGTCACACCCGTCATAGGCTGTAAGCTGGATCCCGCTCCGTAGCCCGAGCCATCGTAGAGTCCTGTATGCTGGCCCCAGGTGCTATCGTGCTTCCCCACCTCTGTCGGGCTGTGGAGGTGGCTCTGCACAACCATGGCGTTGCCCTCGTCCAGAGCAATGTCTAGATATGCTGGAAGTTTTCCCGCTGCAAACGCTTTGTCAAGCTTATCATCAGATATAAAAACCATCCTACAAGGTGCATATACGAAGTCAGTGTGTTTCTCAGATGCAATTCATTCAGGAACATTTCGTACCCATTTTCCCGAACGATGGAGCCAAGTTCCGACACTAATATGTCTGCTTGAGGACCAACAAGCTTGAACGGTATCTCATTATCACATTGAGCGTTGTCGTCGCCACCCTCCGAGTCGGAAGCGAGCAGCTTGATCTTGAGTCGACATCTCCCATCTGCTCGACGATAGGTCCTTGCATGATAACCTTTATCGAGTATGACTTTTGCCTGCTTTTCTACCATCTTGTTTACATCTGGTGGATTCAGTGCTTTGTTGGTGGCACTGCCTCGTGTACAAACTTGCTCGTCGTCTGTCTTGTGGGTCGATGAATCTTCCATACGATGTACACCAGACGGTTCTTCACAGGCTGGTGATTGTCGTGGTTCTTCAGTGTTATTGATTTTCGTGAGGGACTCGTCTGGAAGCAGATGGTTGAGCTCTAAATTGTCGTGACTGACAACGGGTTCATCGAGGTAGATTCCAGCACCATGAAGACTATCAGAGACAGCACTCTTTGTTGACGCCGTACTCTTCATCGTTTCTTGATCCTGGTTATATGCTAGGATGGACGTTGGCGAAGGGGGGCTCCCAGTCTGGTCCAACTCCAAGATTCTCTGGATGGGAGCTGGTGAAAGCGGTACAGTCCCAAAAGGAATGAGCGATAAATCGACAGATGATTGCTGATTCCGTTTCTCAGATGTCGGAACAGGCACGGGCGAGGAGTGGTGAACCCTCAAGCTTGAGGTGATAGAGTCTTTGCGGTCGAGATCGAATATTGGTTTGTCAGAGGGTGATTCCTCAAAGTCGAGTACGAGGGATGAATTAAGGCGGTGTTTTGGGGTATAAGGACCCTGTAAAACACAACTTCAGTAGATGTTTCGCCACAATTTGAAGGGACACTTACGTCGGCCGGCGGTGATGCAGGTGTGTCAAGCTGCTTGGTCTTGGTAGGCGACCGCAGACTTCGTAATGAGCTAATGCTGCGCAGCTTTTGCTTTCTCAACGACCCCATTAGACCTTTTCGTACAGGTGATTCGTCACTTGCATCGGGTACGGTGGAGTTTGCTCCTGGTGAATATGGATTCGGAGTCTCATAAATTGGTTCATCGTTTTCATTTCGCTTAGGAGAACGTGAATGAATCCTTGAGATAATTAGCATGGCAGAAACAGGGTAGGAAAGACCGTCGCTCACGGTGCACCGCTCATCCGAGTGAATATATCCGAAACGCTCTTCTTGGCCTGGATGAGGCGATCGAGAGGCATGATGGCTTTTCGTTGCTACCTTGGTTATACACTGTAGGCTCGAGAGTGTGCTGAAGACTACGAAATGGATTGAACGGTTGACGCCACGAGCAAGTACAAGCGTATGGCACTTGAATCCGAGGCTCTTGACCTTAAGCTATGTTTGTTGATATATAGGTCAGCTCCTGCCAAGCTGACTTTACGTGACATTGGCTGGTAGTTTGCAAGAGCATTGTGATGTGTTCGGCAGGATCAACTCGTCAGCAGATTGAGGAAGTAAGAACCGAATCTAGGGATACATAGGATGGCGATGTAACATGCTGAGTTTGATCGCATATCCAGAGATAATCATTGTGTATTGACGTATGGCGTATGTATGTATCGGAACGCTCACCCAATCTCGCTGATGATGAACGCATGTCTTTAGTGAGGCGTGCAAGAATACATGCCGCTGGATCTGAGAAGGCGTGAATGGACAACGCTTGGCTCAAGCGGTGCACGTGATTGGACCAGCCCGTGCACCAGACCCTTGCTTAGCTCCTTCACGTCGCGAACGTTAGCAGTCGTGGAGTGCAAGCGCATCATCAACTTTCAACGCCGCCCTTCACCCAATTTATATTCGAGTATCCGAGTAGGAGTCGCCCATACGTACGCCACACTCATCGTCGCCAGCTTCAGACGCGCCACACCGGCATCGTTCTCGACTAGCCACAATGGCGCGTGGTCGCCCTTCTCGAGCTGCAGCGCGTCGCAGTACGCCTGTTCGCAGCGCAACACCTCAGCAGGACAGTGACGAGGAAATGGTAGATGCACCAGAATCGCGCGCCGACACACCCAAGGAAGAGGAAGAAGATGCCGACTCAGCAGTTCAAGGAAGCGACGAGGAAGCGGCACCCTCTGAGCGCTCGCCCTCTCCAGCAGTCATCCAGCCATTTCCCCGCAAGAAGCGTCTTGGTCGCCCTCCTAAGAACAGGCCACCAGACTGGAACGTTGTCGAACCCGACAACTCCGAAGGCGGTACACCCGTTAAGCGCAAGCGGGGACGGCCGTCAGGCGGAGGTCGAGGACGGCCACCAAAAGGAGGGCCATCGCATACGACGCGCGTCCCAATTGACAAGGAGGGCAACATGATGGATGTAGTCAATGATGAGGTCGACTTACCGGAAGACGAGGAAGGCGAGCAGAAGGTCGACAAACTCGGCAACCTTATGGGCGGACGAGACTACCGTGTGCGCATATTCACTATCAAGGGCAGAGGCGACAGACAGTACATGCTGTCGACAGAACCAGCCCGTTGTTGTGGATTCAGGGATAGTTATCTGTTCTTCACAAAACATATGAAGCTCTACAAAATCATCATCGACGATACCGAGAAGAGGGACTTGATCGACCGCGACATCATCCCACACTCATACAAGGGTCGTGCCATTGGTGTCGTCACAGCCAGATCCGTCTTCCGTGAGTTTGGCGCACGCATCATCATCGGAGGTAAGAGGATCATCGACGATTACTATGTTACTGCAGCAAAGGAAAGCGGCGCAGTCGAAGGGGAAATTGCAGACCCCAACGACAGGCTACCGCCTCCTGGGGAGCCATACAACAAGAACCAATACGTCGCTTGGCATGGTGCCAGTAGTGTGTACCATACTGGTGTGCCTAGTGTGCCAACCGCTAATGGCAAGCCTGTGCCTGGGAAGCGGAAGGTCAACATAACCTCTGCTAACTGGCAGTTCGAGCATGGACGAGCTGCAAGGTAAGCAAAACTTCCCTTTTACTAACCTATAATCAGCAAAGCTAACTTATCCCAGTCGATTCAACTCAAACCTCTCTAAGCTACGGAAAGCAAACCTCACTGGTGTCTACGATCCACACACCAACCTGATGTGCTATCCAAAGGTCACACAACCTACACATGCACGATGGGAAGAGGTCTCAGCCGAAGAAACCGACGTGCCTCCGCTGGTCCGTCGCAAATACCTCGTGGTCGACTCTGTTTTCCAACAGCCCCCTTTCGCCGGGCTAGGTATACCCGGACCCGACGGTGACTTCGTTGATGTTGGCACCAATGGCCTACCAGTCTTGGACGACGAAGACAGGCTAAAAATGAAGCCCGAAGAACTTGAAGCTCTTGAGCAGGTCAAGGCTGAGGAACAAGAGTGGCGTAGTCAATGGGGTGGGGAGACCACTGATGGTGCAAGAGTGAGACCGAAGATAGGCTTTGTGGGCGTCCCGGTTTGAGACATCCAAACCAGACTGGAGTCCAGGAACCTATTTACTCATATGTTGTCTTAGATACCGGTACTGTTTCCAGCACGGCGCGATTTGGCGTACGATATATCAACAGGTCCCGTATTCAAGAAAGAGGATCCAACTAGGTACATCTCGCCATATTGCGATATCTGAATGAAGCGCCGCACGGACACGGCTCCAAGTCATTCATAATACACAGTTTACTGCTCTTTTACATTAATGTCTTGGCCATGATCTTACGACCCTTTGCATCCCGTGCCTTGACAATTCACGTCTATCCGCTGTTCGTTTGGCGCGCTACGTACATGTCGTTGATGAATGGCGACAAGGCCGAGCGCCACGTGCTCCTTGGTCGCAACATACACACTGGCACGATGATAGCTTAGTATAGGATCGTTTAATGCCTTGATTACAACGCTTCCTCTGAATAATGCATCGCCTCTGCACAGGGAGAAAGAGTGCATGGACGAATGTACGGACCAGAAAACATATTCTGAGATAAAACATCTCAATAAGCGGGTCCCTGCCGCGCACTGGAATTATCTCAAAACGTCATTGACACAAGATACTGCCTTTTTTCTTCATGACCAACGCAATACTGCATTCTGGTCGCCACATCAGGGCTGCTGAGTCTCCTTCAGCAGCATACAAATGCTCTCTCGGTGCCTGCGTCTGACGTGTAGATATCGCACCAGCATTCCAAACTACAACCCCATTCTTGATATTGTCGATGTTCTTTCCCCTGGACTGCAATGCATTGCGTCCGACTACTGGTTGAGAACGGATATGAACCTCTATGCTGCTTGTTACATCTAACACCTTTCTAAGTGCTAAATTCCTGTAACAAGATGTCGGAGATGGATCATCTGTAATCGCAATGTGAAGTTCAATTAGTAAACGAAGCTCTGGTGATGATGCTCAGAGTGGACGCATGTTGAGTTGTGCTGATACCTTGTGGTATCACTAGTCTTAGAGACGCTTTTGATAGCCCACTTTCTACATGAGTGCCTTGAATAGTGAGTGGCAGCGCACGTCCAGCAGCGATCTTATTGCTACGAGTCTGGCACCAAATTTGGCTTTGCTTCGGCTCATAACACCATTTCAACAAAGATGCTCGTTTTCTCACAAAGTCGTTCGGGCACTGCCATTGCACGACGTTTGAACAGGCGGCAGCATTCTCGTCACGATGGTGATGTGGTCTTAAGACTGCTGCGTAAGCGGCAACGATTGCTTCGTAGACGTCGTCGTAACGTTCCCCTATCCTTTATTGGATCACCACGCACCAGCTCTACCAGCATCGGCCCGCACTGACATGTTGTTCTGCGAAGAAGAGGGCACATCTGGTCCGCTGGAGTATTGGTAAGAGCCACATGCTCTCCTGAGAAGCCCGTTAGAGGATAGCCGGTAGGCGGCAGTATTACTGATGTAGATCTTGTGTACTGAGTCAAGAATTTCGGTGGTAAGATCTAGATCGCTGTATTGTAGGCGGCTCCGATGCGATAGGTCCGAATTCTGGTGCCTGAAACGGTGACGAGTCGGTTGGTGGAGCAGAGTGCGATGCCCACGACAAAGAACGCATGAGACGCTAGCCCACTGTTACGCACGCCATCTTTATTCAAGACCAAATTCGTGCGCAATCAGTCCATTGCGTGGCGGCTGCGGAAGATAGGATGACAAGAGAACGATAAGGCAAAAGTAATTTCGGTACCGCAGGATTATGAGAGCTGATCAATGAACCACCGGCTTGTTATTTTCTTACTACCGGAGAGCCCCCGTCTCACATGCTCGTAAAGCTTGAGTGGAAACTCGCAGAAACTCACCAGGGACCCTTTGCTCCAAAAGAGCCGGAGGCAAAGGGACTCGTGTGACGCTTCGGTTTTGAGCAGCAATAAAGGAAGGAAGCTAAGGCTAAGCTTCTATGCGGCTTCCCTGGTGTTTCCACGAACAAAGGAAGTTTACCCCAGGTTGCGCAAATCTTCCGGCAATAGGCCGCACTATGGAAGTCACGATAGATTGCAAGGTTGTGTGGGGATATGAAGATGTGTGGGTGGAATAGTTAGCGACCCGGCAAAATAGATTGGAACTATGGGGTGCAGATGCTTCGAGAAGGAACGGCTTCGGACCTTCATCTACGCCAGCCGTGCCTGAAGTATACGAGCATATTGAGGGCAATAATTGGGGGGTGTGCGTGACTGTGAAGTTGATCCGGAGGGGACTGGATGCAGCGCGGCGTTGGGGCGTATTGGGTTTGGCTGACGGCATCTTACGACATGCTACATTGAACTTGTTTCGTGTCGCCACTGAGGTGCACCGAGTGATACAGGTGGGTCGAGCACGAGAAGGCTAATACCAGCTCGTGCTACGCCTCGATTGCACGTCGGAGTTGGATAAGCCCGTTTACGCCTCCCTCAGAAGCAAGAGAGACGGAAGCCTGGGACAGCGGCCCCGTCGTCTGGTGGTGGTAGAAGCGGCACATGCAAGCAGGAATCAAGTCCGGCAGGTTGTAGGACGAAGACTGCAACGGCGGTCCCCTGACTTGGGTAGTGAAACGACGGGGCGGGCGGCTGAGTTCCTGAGTTCCTAGCGTAGGGGGGCGTGTATCGGAGGGTGGGCTCAATTAGCGTAGCCCCGATGCGGGCAAGCGCACTAGGGGTCCATGGCTGCGCTTGGCAGCTGCCTATTAAAGTGTCCGTGAATGCCACCTGTCCTCTTCGCCGCACAGCCCGGGTCCTAGTGATAATCACCCACTATGCCCACTCATAGCCCCGTCAACTGTCGACTTCACCATGGCTCAGTACACCTTCGATTCTAGTCTATTTTCCCAGACCATGAACAATTCGGCCATGACTTCCACGCCTCTCCCCCCACCATCCGTTGAGGCCATGCCTACTACCATCAAGATGGAGATGATTGAGAACTACGACCACTCACCCTCACCCGCACATCACTCGTCCAACTCGTCGGAAGCATCACACACACCTGCACCCGAGAGCAATGGCTCCAAGCCCGTGAAGAAGCGCAAGTCGTGGGGCCAGGTGCTCCCCGAACCCAAAACCAGCCTACCCCCACGGAAGCGGGCCAAGACCGAGGACGAGAAGGAGCAACGGCGGATAGAACGCGTAAAGCGCAACCGCCTCGCCGCCCACAACTCGCGCGAACGCAAACGACAAGAATACGAGGTTCTACAGACCGAGAAGGACGAGCTCGAGGCCAACATGCAGGCCTACAAACAAAAGATGGCCGAGATGGAGGCCGAGCTTAGATATTACCGCTCCAAGTACCCTGGCGAAGCACCCCAACAGGTCTTCGACCTAGCTACACCACCCAGCGACACCTTCGACACCATCTGCCCCGCGCAGATCCCAACATCCTTCCCCAGCCCTCCCGAGTCCATGGACTCGATGGACTCACCCCGTGACTCATCCTGTCAACCCGAGACACCCCCGTCAAGCTTTGAGGCTTCTCCCGAATTCGACTCGACACAATATCCTGCCGCGATATTGTGCGACCTGCCGTGTCAGTCGACTTCGGGAACCTCTCTACGGGCGATCTGGGCCTACCTTTCTCTGTTCAACCTTACGCTCCAGTCGATGAGAAGTCTGTCGTCATGGAAAACTTCTTCGACTTCGAGCCCTTCCCAAAGTGCAGTCCAACAACGACTGCACCAATGGAGCCCGCTTTTAGCATGGTCGACTCTTCTTCAGGCGATGTCTTCGGTCCAACACCCTTCGACCACAGCTCTTTCTCAAACTCTTATGCCTTTCTTGACGGCTTTGATGCAAAGTTCAACGACTTGCAGAGTGCCTCTGGCGCAACTTCGGTTAGCGACGAGGCCCTCGCAGCGGGACAACTTTAGCACTATCGCTGTCGCGAAATCCACCAAGGGGGCGAAGAAGCAAGCTGAGTTGGTGGATGGTGGCTGTGGTTCACGACTGATGAGGTCTTCTAGGCCTAAGCAATTGGGTAGGCGTAAGGTGCGATCATTGAGGTTAACGGGGGCACTGGGTTGGGAAAACATGGGGTGTGGCATCACTACCGGGCGTGGGACGGCGTTCTGAGCGTGTACACTCTTGTAGCAACAGTTTCGTTTAGACTTGGTAACCTTTCTGGATATTGTTTCCTTGATGGGACATATGGCGGACAAGATACACCAAGGGCTGGTGCCTTTATCTGGCCAAATACCATGATCTACTATTCATTTACCCTTCTTCCTTTGCATCGTGATGTCTTCTCATTGACTTGGATGCTCGACCTTCTCCATGTGCTTTTTGTTGAGTACCCACTGCCACTCCAGTGTGTCACCGATTCTCCACGATTCTCCCCCCTTCCAACGCTAACCATCCCACCTCCACTTCGGACTCCGGCTCAGCTGAGGCGAGACACACTTCGCATGCAGGCTGACGCCAACAACCTCCACTCAAACTACCAGCCCAGTTGACACCAACTTATTCTAGGTCGTCTGATGACGTGACCAGGCACTCGTGAAAGTCTATTCATAGGCTGCTGCGGAATTCAAACATCCGCAATACGAAGCAGTCGTAAACTTGTACTGCTCAGCTCATCCGTGTCGGGACCCATACAAGGGAATCGGTCTTTGCAATGTGCGCGGGGCTTATCAGTTTTCGCTTAACCACATGAAAAGACCGGCCTGAATTGCTCAACACCATTTTGGCGTCGCAGGGCATTGCATGCAAAACAACAGTACACCGCACGACATGTACACCGCTTTGCCCCACAAACACCGGATCTAGAACATATTGCTTTAGGATGGCATTTTACATTTGTTGCTTTCATTCGTTACAGTCGTAGCTATCTGGGCCCTTGCATGCGCAATGCAATGCAACGCAACTACCGATGTCACTCGGAGTCCGTCGTACTGTAGATGTTACTCCTTTGCCTGCTAGCCAGCCATATCTATCGGCTGTGGCAACATGCCCTTGCATGCATCGGAATTTCTTCCTAGATTCCGAGCTTTGCACTACCCTGATAGCTTATTTGGTGACCTGCTTATTTGGTGGCCTGGTCGACGGGGGCAGGCTTGTTTGAGTCGGCAGCTGCTTTGCCTTGGCCGGTGTGGCCTGCCTTTGGTGCGTCGCCGGCGCCAGAGGCGTTCATGCCTTCGATAGCTATCTCATGTTAGTATTTGCTTTCCTCTCAAAACATTCCTTTTCCTTCTTTGCTGTCATTTGAGGAGCAGGAGCAACGAAGAGGGGTAGGTGGGGCAAACGAGTCGTACCTTCGCCCTTCTCAATCTCTGGCATGGGAGCGACATTGTTCTTTGTGTGCTGGAGAGTTGCCTGCCATATGGTCAGAGCCGAGCTTTTCGTAAGAAGTTGTAGCAGACAAGGGTACTTACGTCTCCAGAAGCACCGTGAACTGCGTCCTGGCCGGCCTCAATGGGGCCGTTGTCTGAAGATCCGTCTCCGTTGCGAGGCATGATGAAATGTAAGTATGGGTTGGGTGGTGTGATAGTCTGATGGGATTTTAGGGAAGAGGAGTGGAAGATGTGTTGATATGAGGGGTAGAAGTTCCTGTCGTGTTCAATTTCTATCATCTCGATGATGTATTTTGCTGTGATGTCATGGTGGAGAAGGGGTACCTGCAGAGCGGGTCATGCTCACGTACAACACTGTTACTAACGATCATCACGAATTCTATCTTATTTCATACTTATGTAATTCAGTCGAGCGCCTGACTTCTTCTAGTCTTTCTTGTGCTGTGGTCTTTGGTCAATTACAAGTTGGCGAATCGAGGAGGCGTGTCGTGACATCCTGAGAAGCTTTTAATTCGACGATGCGATGGAGAAAGATATACATAATATCCATCTGGGGCTTTCCAATCCCTTTTGGTATCATTGACTATCAATCATGACCGAGGATATGCAATGGCAGTGAAAAGACAACCTGAAAATTCAATCTGCATGCCGCTTTTGTTAGAGTCCCAGCGTCAGCTGTGAACAAGAGTATATACATCATGCTAAACTAAGTGCACATGTGAAAGACTCATCGCGCACTTCGAACCCATCCTACTACACCGACACTGTATCCCACTAATCCGCCCACCCTTTCGCGTCCTCTCTTCGCCTCCTCCTGCCACTTCCTTAGCTCGCCTACTAGGTCAGAGTCTTTGACAACAATATCTCCATGGAGTCGCAGAAATACGCTCATCCAAGCTTGTACAAGCTCGTAGTCTCGGCCTTCTTGGAGTCTCGCGGTCAACGCTTCGATAAACGTTCGCAGCTCTGTGTATGGCTCCGTTGTATCAAGAGTGCGAATTGCAATATCCGCTGCCGAAGGCGGGAGTGAAGAGAGGTGAGTTAGGAGAGGAGTGTAGTCAGCGGTTTCGGTCGCATGTACAAGGTGACGGCTGAAGACATCAGTAGATGTGGCGGCGCTAGAGCGCGAAGCAAGCGCAGAGCTGGAGATGCGAGACTTCGGATCTTGATCGAGTGGCGCGAGAGCATTGTCTTCTGCTCCCGAAACCTGGTTTTGACCAAGTGACGGGAGGAAGAAGGGGGCCTTTTCTGGCGCTTTCGGAGCCTCTTTGGGCTTGTTGCGGGCACGGATAACGTCAAGGTGTAAGAGGGTTTGCCAGCGGGACTTTGGAACCAAGCTCAGTGTTGTGATCTTGTCGCTGAGTTGGTCCATGACCGGAACGGTAACTTCATCCTGATCCTCATCCTCCGCCTGCTCTTCGGTGGCAGCTTCAATGATAGCGACACCGCCTTCGCCAGATGCTGTTGGCGCGCTGACCTCGGCAATGTCGTCCTCTGTTATTTGACGGGTTGATACATGCGTGAAGAGTGTTCGGTTTGTCCAGATATGCACACCTACTTCGCCGTCTAGGCCGGTGGCAAGGAACTCACCCGAAGGTGAGAATGCCACGGTGTTGCACTTTTTGGGCAGCTTCATAGCATCAATGAGATGGCCGGTTGGTAAGTCCCAAACTCTGACGGTGGAGTCTGAGGCAGCAGAAATGATCCATCGGCCGTCACTCGAAAAGGTGTAATCGAGGGTTTGCAGTGCAACATGGGATTGGGATGCCCATAGTTCTCGAATGAGTTTCTTGGTTGTGATGTCCAATACGCGGATCGAGCCATCGTCACAGCTTAGTGCTATCAGATCACTGTTCCGGTGGTAGCGCAGACCATTGATCTTCGTCATAGGGTACCAATCAATCTCGTGAAGTAGGATGCCCGTAGCAAAATCCCAGAACTACAATATGCGTCAGTCGCTGGTGGATGAGAAAGACGGACGTTTGACTTACCTTGACTTTGCCATCGTCGGAACAACTTAAAAGCGTGCGATTGAGAGCGTCTACAGCGAGACCAGTGATGGCTCCTTTGTGCTTGCCTTCTCCCTTTGCAAACTTCCGAGGTGCATCATCCGCAAACTCTAGAGCCTCTTCGGCCTGTAATTGTCGAAGTTTGTGCTGTTTTGCTTCCACTGGAGTGAGTCGAGCTGGGAACCTGCGTCGGAATTGGCCAGATTGAAGGTTGTACATATCAATGGAGCCACCTGCAGATCCGATCACGGCAAACGTGCCGCAAGACGAGATTGCAACACTCTTGACTTCTGTACCATCGCCTGTGTCGAAAGCCCATCGGCCGGCCCGTTTACGGCCCCAGAACCAGGTTCTTGCAGTCTTGTCACCAGCGTGCCCTGTGACGATGCTCTCCCATCCAGTCATGTTAACTTCTATAGCTTTCTTATCCTGCCCCTTGACCTTGGATGAGTTATTCCATATACCCGCTACGCCAGGCATCGCACCCATGCCACCGTCGCGATTGAGAGAACAAGCCATGCAGGTGATTGCTGGAGCTTTCAAATCTTCCAACTTGACATGATGTTTGGACGCCTCGGAATTTCCATTGAGCAGCCCCATCTTCTTTGCTTTCCTCTGGATAGCACCCTGGCTAAGCTCTGTGCTTTGTCCATCTCGTCGCAAGCTCCAGCCCCAGAGACTTCGGTCTTTGCTAGCGCTGAGAAGCCATTTGCCGACATCATCAGAGCCGTCCGAGTTGGAAGGAAGGAAGCGGAGAGTTGAGACTGGTGCAGCATGACCGCCGCGAGAATGCAGAATGCGCGGTAGGGGTGAGAAGGGTGTTTCGTCAAAAATCCAGCTCTTCAACGAGTTGTCCAAGCCACTCGATACAATGACCGCCTGCCCCGCGAGGAATTCAATCTTACTGATACCACCACCGACACCTCCGCTCGCAGATGGAGGCGGCCCATGAGCCCCTTGGAGGGTACTAGTTTTACGACCACCTTTGTTGAGGTCCCAGAAGGTGATGTCGCCGCTTTCATGACTAGCTGTTGCCATGACACCGTCTTCGCGACCATCGTCGCCGGCACCCAGTCCGTCGGTCCTGAAGGAGATGGAAGTCACTGAGGGTTTCCGCGAGCCACCCGTGTTCAGGCGCATGATCTCTTTGTCTGCACGGATATCGTGTATCGTGATTGGACCTGATTGGTATGCGATAGCGAGGAGCGACAAAGCGGGCGTCGGCTGTAGTGCAGTTACAGCGCCAAAGTCTGCTGCTGGTGGGAGGAGTGTGTAAAGCAGCTTTCCGGTGCTGATGTTCCAAATCTCAACAGACCCATCGGCTCGGCCCACGAATATCTTGTTCAAGTAGGTAGGCATGTTGCAGATGCAGCCAGAGAGCGCACTGGAAGAGGCGCCCTGTAGGGTCGTGTAGTGCTCCAAGGTAGCTGTCCTCCAGATCTCGATTTCGGTCTTGCCACATCCTACAATCCATTCTCCCAGGACTACTAGCCTTGTGATGCGCTGTATGCCGCCGCGTGGTAGCTCCAACTCTGCAGTCTTTTTTCCGCGCTGAAACACCCACACGCCAGCCTGGGTTTTCGACTTGGGACTTGACCAGGCTGCAAATACGACCTTCTTCCATGCCACAGTCGCAGTGATATCCTCGGGTGTCTGCGGTCGAGTTATAAAGACAAGGTTGAGTCCGCGCTTGAGATCGTAGGTTTGGAGAGAGCGGCCGACGGAGGTTGTGATTTGGAAGGTAGTCTTGCCGAGGGGAAGTGTAGTAAAGGGAACGCCTGTAGGCGACACTAGACCAACAGTCTGCCATGGAGTCAGCGGTGCGCAAGTATGTGATGGCGTCGTTGGAGCTTACTCGGAACGGCGCAAATATCTTAGACTGGCGGACCAGCGACGCAGAGCTCGTTTCGCCATTGCTCTGTGTCTTCTGGCGTTTAGTCACGGGACCACTGCCGGTACTTTCCTGTACCTTTGGACCTGCCATGTTATGTGTGTTTTGGGGAAGAAGGACTAGAGCGCATGCATGGACTGGTGTTCTCGCAACCTCGGACGGCGCGACCAAAAATTTGGGAAATGAGATTAGATCAGATTGAGATTAGATTAGATAAGATCGACGCCAAGTGATCGACCCAGCGTCAGGGTCCGTTTCCCGCTATGCATAGCACAAATGGCAGTAGTAGGCTTCGACGCAACCTTGCCATCCTTCTTCCAATGTACAGCGCACGTATGCATCTGTAGCAACGTGCCCTTGACCATTGAACACTTGTGGGAAACATTTCGACCTGTATCTACAATGTCTCAAGGCATCAGTACGTGCTCTCCAAGCATGCCAGAAGCCTAGCTACAAGTCACGCCGGGCGGGACCCGTTCCGATGTGATGTGCAACACGTGGCGCACATGTAGACTCGCTGCAGCCCGAGAGTGGACATCTAGAGCTCGAAACGGCACAGCATATGCATGCGGCGCACAAGTCTGTCCATTGAGATCATGGGGTTGGACCATGCTGCCAAGTTGCGCTGAGTGACGTACCGTCTGTGAATTGCTGTTTCGAATTCCTTCTTGCCTAGAGAATCATCTTCTACTGCGCACCCGAAGACATGAGGAAGCCGTGAGGATACTGTCGCCGAACGTCGATTGTGCCAGCCATCTCGCGACCCTGTCCAATTAACCCCGCGACGCACGGGTCCAAGGCGTGGTAGCATGGAGCAGTCACTCTCCCGTACAGTGAGTTCTGAGAGCACACGGTCATGGCAACAACTCTCGAGTGCGAGCGGCGCATCAGCAGCAGGTCGCAAGGCAAGATCGAGCGAACCCGAGACTGGCGGAGACAACGTAGAGCGTCCCAGTGTGTCAGTCCCTTCGCTTGGTCGCGCGGCGATTCGACAGAGCCTGCCCGCGCGCCGCCCCTCCAAGGCATCGGATAGCAGTCTCTTTGAGTATTTTGGACATGCCTGGTCTGGCTCTGCTGTCGACGACTCGGATCAAGCGACGCCAACGCTAGAGAGCACCCGGGGAAGTCTTGCAAGCGCCCCAGTAAATCCTCTGCTGCTGCCGGATTCCTTCCGACATGCGCGAGCTGACGTCGGCACTGCAGCAGCGACAGAGTCGAAGCGACTGTCCATCTCCTCGTTTGTGTCTGCCATCTCCAATCGGGGCTACAGTTGGAGTGGAAAAAGTTCGGTAGCGGGCTCTGAACCGGAAGGTACGTACGTCATGGGCCGACACGGCCTCGTAGCTTTTTCACATGCACATGGCGGCCATTGACTGACCCACCCACTCTGCACAGCAAGGATGGAGAACCCACACGGCACCACGACGGCCACCTCGTCGCTGTCCGTCACTACCTCGAGCCAGAATGGCAGTCTCGGCACAAAAGCCTCGCCTACGCAATTGCTGTTTCCCCAAGACCAAGCCGCCAGCAATCAGTCCGCGAGCCCCAGCGCCGCCCCAGTCCACCCCGCGTCTCCCCACACCAGCCAGCCGCCTCTGTCAACCCAGCCCCGTCGCTCACGCAGCCGGACGGCCCAGAGGCGCATCAGCGGAAGCACGGCTACGAGCAGCAGCCCGGCTAGTCGAGAAATGAGGGAGAAGAAGCCGACAAAAGGCATCATTGGCGTATGCGCACTCGAGTCCAAAGCTCGCAGTAAGCCTGCGCGCAACATCTTTGGCAAGTTGGTCGACGAGTTTGAGGTCAAGATCTTTGGCGACAAGATCATCCTCGACGAAGCCGTGGAGAACTGGCCAGTGTGCGACTTCCTCATCTCCTTCTTCTCCGATGGCTTCCCCCTGGACAAGGCCATTGCCTACACCCGACTGCGCAAGCCCTTCTGCGTAAACGACCTGCCCATGCAACAGGTGCTGTGGGATCGCCGCCTGTGTCTTGGTATACTGGACAAGCTCAGCGTTCCTACGCCAAAGCGCATCGACGTCAGTCGAGATGGCGGACCGAAGCTACCGTCGGCTGAATTCGCCAAAGCCTTGTACGAGAGGACAGGTCTGAAGCTGGAAGGACCTGAAGACGGCACTGGTGGAGGCTTCCAGGCTCCGAAGAACATTGAACTCATCGACGATAACAACACCATCCGCGTTGATGGCGTTACCCTCACAAAGCCATTCGTAGAGAAGCCAGTGAGTGGTGAAGACCACAACATCCACATCTACTTCCACAAGAAGGATGGCGGCGGGGGCCGCAGATTGTTCAGGAAGATCAACAACAAGAGCTCGGAAAAGGATGAAACTCTCGACGTACCGAGGGCCATACTCGAACCAACAGGCAGTTACATTTACGAGCAATTTCTGCAAGTGGAGAATTCTGAAGACGTCAAAGCCTATACCGTTGGACCAAACTTCTGCCATGCCGAGACAAGAAAGTCACCAGTAGTTGATGGTCTTGTTAAGCGCAACCCTAGCGGCAAGGAAGTCCGATATGTCACGAAACTGAGCGAGTCAGAGGCCGCTATTGCAGCAAAGATTTCAGAAGGATTTGGCCAGCGGGTGTGCGGATTTGATCTGCTCCGCACTGGAGACCAGAGCTACGTTATCGATGTCAATGGGTGGAGCTTTGTGAAGGACAACGGCGATTATTACGACAAGGCGGCCAACATCCTAAAAGACATGTTCCTGAAAGAGATCGCGCGGAAACAACGCAAAGATGCCGCTCAACATGCTGCTGCGGACGCACAAGCTGGTACAGACATTCCTGGAAAGGGTGCTTCAAACCATCGTAAGACTCTTGGGAAACTTTTCAAGAGTCCCAGCATGTCGAGAATGGGAAATCATGCGCACAACCTCCATCATATGCGGCAATCCAACACTATGCCCTCGTCACCCGACACATCACTCAGTTCTACCCCTATCGCATCCTCACCTAGTTTCGAAAAACCCAATCCTGCTACAGTTCTGAGCCCAACAGCCTTTACTTCTACTTCAACACCAGATGGCCCGGCGTCCGAGCCTGATATCACACTTCCGTCTGCGTTCGAAGAAGACGATCTGGAACTCGAACCAGAAAGGTCAATGTCAGAAGATCATCTAGAGGTACCCCCTCCAGCAACGGCGGCGCAGTGGAAGCTCAAAGGTGTTGTGTCTGTCATTCGACATGCGGATCGCACTCCGAAGCAGAAGTTCAAGTACACTTTCCATTCCAAGCCATTCGTCGATCTACTCAAAGGTCACCAGGCAGAAGTGCTACTGATTGGAGAGGTAGCATTGCAAAGTGTGAGCGATGCCGTCAAGTTGGCTATGGACGAAGGCCTGGAAGACTCCAAGAAGCTGCGTGAGCTGCAATTGTATCTGAATAAGAAGGGCGCTTGGCCTGGAACAAAAGTGCAGATCAAGCCTATGTTCCGGAAGCGAAGAAAGGAAGAGCTGCTACCAGGAGAGACTTTACCCGAAGAAACTCCTGAGGCACAAAAGCCTGAGCCAACTGCTGATGCCAAGGAGACGACCGAGGCTACTGGCGAAGAAGGCGGACCCGAGCCACTTAAGAACAGGAGTGACTCCATGTCTGGTGTTACCTTGTCTCGTATCACCGCGCAAGATAACAACATGGTACTGGACAAACTACAACTGATTATTAAGTGGGGAGGTGAACCTACTCACTCCGCTCGACACCAAACACAGGACATGGGTGCGAACTTCCGCAACGACCTCTTGTTGATGAATCGCGATGTATTAGACGATGTTCATATCTTCAGCAGCTCGGAGCGACGAGTGACCACCAGTGCACAGATATTTGGAGCGTCATTCCTGGAAAAGGAACAATACCAATCTGAGCACATCTCAGTTCGCAAGGATCTTCTAGACGACTCGAACGCGGCAAAGGATGTCATGGACAAGGTCAAGAAGAAGCTCAAGACTTTGCTACGCGCGGGCGACAAAGCTCCACCTCAGTTCGCGTGGCCGAAAGATGTACCAGAGCCCTACATTGTCGTTCGGCAAGTGGTGGATCTGATGAAGTTCCATCAGCGCGTTATGAACCACAACTTCAAGAAGATCGAATCCGAAGCGATCTCGTCGCTAGCTGCACTAGCATCTCCACCAGGCGGGGCACAATCGTCAGGGCAATCCCAGTACACCAATGTTAACCACATTCAATCGCGCTGGTGCTGTAATGAAGGCCCTGAACTTTTCAAAGAACGGTGGGAGAAGTTGTTCAAGGAGTTTGGAGACGCTGATAAAGTCGACCCAAGCAAAATATCTGAGCTTTACGACACGATGAAGTTCGACGCCCTACACAACCGCGCCTTCCTTGAATGGGTGTTTACGCCCGATGCCAGCTTTGTCGATGAAGACTCAGTTGCGGACGGGTCAAAGCAGACTACGCCTGACAACAGTTCCGGGAAGTCGATACCAGTTGGCCCGAGTCCATCAGAAGCTCAGTTGAAGGCGGAGGCGAAGGAGAAAGAACAGAGCACGGAAAAGACCCATGAGCGCGGTAGCCTGTCCCATCGCATGGGTTTCAGGCGCAAGTCTGAGCTTACCGTCAAAGCTCCTGCGCCCCCATCGTATGTACACGAGTCGTACTTCAAGCTGTATTCTGGTCTCGGGACCGCGACGTCCAAAGCACAGACTGATGCGCGACTTGTCAAGTTACGTGAGATGTACCACCTCTGCAAGGTCTTGTTCGACTACATCGGACCACAGGAATACGGCATCGAGAGCGAGGAGAAGCTAGAGATTGGCCTACTTACATCGCTTCCACTACTCAAAGAGATTGTTGGAGACCTGGAAGAGCTCCAGGCGTCCGACATGCCGAAGAGCTTCTTCTACTTCACCAAGGAATCACACATCTACACATTGCTCAACTGCATTCTGGAGGGCGGTATCAAGACCAAGATCGAACGCAATGCTATTCCAGAGCTCGATTACTTGTCGCAGATAAACTTCGAGCTCTACGAGTCGGAGAATGCTAGTATCGATGATAAGCCGCACACCTTCAACTATAGTATTCGCATCACGTTATCGCCAGGCTGTCATGCCTTCGCTCCACTTGATGTGTAAGTCACGCTTTCTGCCTTATATACCTCGGTAGCTACTAACGTGAATAGACAATTGGACTCACGCCATATGATTGGCTTCGCGCCTCGTCGCAGCCTCACTCTCCACCAAGATTGGAAAGAAGTCCTCGAGACTCTTCGCGCAAAGTTCCATACGTAAGTGTCTCTCATAGCTATCAAATGCTTCAGAAGCTTGCACTAACGATTTCCAGCGTCAAACTCCCGAAATCCTTCGTCGCCATCGACCTCAGCGAAAAGGTTCCTGAGGCTTTCGAGCGTAGCACCAACGGGAATGGGAAAGAGCACAACATGACCGAGAGTGAAGAGCGAGGTCGATCAGACGAGCGAGATGAAGACGCGTCACACATACCTATTGCAAATGAGAAGGGCGAAATAATAAGCCCAGGAGAGATTGTAAGTCCGGAACGCTTGGCGCTTGATAAGGAAATCAGTCCAACGGGCTTACCGCCGCCGGCGCTAGACGTAGAGACGGAGTAAGAAGAAGATGAGGCATTATTGATAGGTTGGGCGAGTCTCCTAGTATCAACAAATTCTTATTAATTGGTCGGGATCTGGCGAGGCAGCCTATTACCGTTTACCAAAACCACTCCAAGCTCCTCATTGTCCAAGGCGCCTAGTCCTCACACTCTAAGCAGTTTCATGAATCTTTTTTTTGTTTGTGAGGCAGTTAGTACAGTATCGAGATGGCTGGAGTAAGTTGCTCTTTTCTGCCTGATTTATTGCTGAATCCTTCATGACATATCGGAAATCGCACTTGCGATACGAGAAATTGCGACTGCAAAGACACAGAAGGCAAATATTGGCCCGATTGGCTTATCTCAGATAATTTGCCCAACTTTGTGCCGCTGTAGCCGCGTTTGCTGCAGCAATTGCGCCAGCAGCATCACCCTTAGGGCTGTCCAATCCAATCTCAAAACCATCGTAACCGCAACCGGTCGGCGCTCCTGGCTCAGAACCGTCTAAGCCAGGGACGAACTGCCAATAAAGCTTCATTGTACATTAGCATGCCTTTTTCCGAATATGTACAGATCTCATGCTTACCCAAGGAACTCCAGCATCATTGAATATTTGGGCCTGAGTGTCGAAAGAATCCTGGAAGTCAGTCGAAACGCCCCACTCTTCCATCATGATGTTCTTTCCTGCAGCTCTTGCTCCGCTCAAAACTTCCTTGTCGCCGGTAATGTAGTAGGCCCAGTCGGATGCCTTACTCATGTATCCATGCATACTGATGATGTCGATTGCATCGCATTGCATGGCCTTCTCCAGCGTATTGAACTCGTGGTCACAGCAATAGTGAGATCCGCCAATACCGCCCGTGGCGATCTTGATATCAGACGATCCAAGTGCATTGCGCATCACTCCAGCACGACCACATAGCCAGTCATCTGGGTCATTGTTGTTCAACTTGTCGAGCTGTTTGATCAGAGGCTCGTTCTGGAGGTCGAAAGCCATAATCACCTGATTCAGGCTTTTCCAGGCCTCGCCAAAGTTTGGTGACTGGTAGTTGAGGATCTCTTCTAGTCGCTTGTCGTAGTCTGCTTTGGCTTCGGTCGAGGAATAGAAGGTAGATGCGTCAGTATATTTTTGGCAGTACGCATCACAGGCTACATCGCCAGTTAGTGAGTTGGCGTTGTGAGGAGATATAATAGCTTTCATCCCGTTGTCGTGGAGAAGCTTGAGTGTAGCGTCCAATGCAGCTAACACAGTGGTATCAAACACGCCAACGGAGATTTCGAGCGGTGGCATGGAATTGGTGATCGTGCTTCCTTTCAAGCACCCTTCATCAATGTTTGTTACTATACACCGATCGTTAGCATCGAATTCACTCTTTCCTCCAGTCTGCTTATGCAGATATGCATGAAGGCCTGGAGGGAAGTTTTGGTTGTACATAGACATCGTATTATTGTGGCCCGCATCATCAGGACTTTGCTCACCCCATAGCCTCATGACCTTCGCCCCCCATCCAGCAAGTGTCTCGATGTATGTCTTTTGCTCGGAAGCAGACAGCGCATGAAGAAAGTACTCGTTACTTCCTGCAAAGGATGTCGATGTTTGTCTCCGCGTTGGTACGAAACCCTCGACTGCTGTTACCGCTAACCCGACAAGGACGGCAACGACCATACGGCCGCGCATATTGTAGGTGTTGGTCAGTTCACCCGAATAGGGTTATAAAAAGAAGAAACAGATGCTATTTACAGCAGTGCTCAGTAACGGCACTCGCAGTCACCATGAGAAGGCTTTTATACGCCATAAAGGCCATCCAAGTCAACCTTGCTGGTGTCGCAGATAACCTAATACGTCTGTACCCATGGTGAGAAGTATGGGGCTAGCCTTCCCAGCCATATTGGCTCTCAAGCCACTTAGATCATCGATCGACTATTTATGTATCACCGAGAATCTCCGGGTAGCCCAGTCTGATTCTGTCAGCTGCTTGTGATAGAGTGGTGCGAAAGCACTTGTTTAGATATTCCGCAGTACCGTGCATGCAGCCTTGCAGGCGCCTCCGCACCATCCCACTTACCTCAATTGTCTCAACAAGCAGCCCAAATATCGATGGCTTTGAACTCGCCAAACCCGGTAAACGCTGGACATTAATAAAAACGCCAGAGCCTTATCCGTCACTATCAGACCACCAGCGTCCCTCGCCCGGCGTTGTACATGCAGCACATTTTCTCAGCCTTGCCCATATGTTGAGGCCAAATCCCATTTATCTGCGTATGGGGGCCAATAGGAGTTCAGCTCTGCCGATTCAGTTATGCGCATGCAGGTGTGCTTGCTATCACAGCAACAAATCCGCTTCTGAAGAATGAAGAACGGGACGGTTCGACGCACATGGTTCGAGTCTGTCCTGCCTACAAAATGCGTCGGCTCGATTCCGACTTAGCATTTTCCGCATCTCTTTCGATAGCCTCTCCGGTGTGAAGAAGGCTCTCATCGTTTTACTCGGCAAAAGAAAAGATACGCTAACAGACAATATAATGTTCGGAATACGAATCGTTTTCGCTCTTGCTCTTGTTCTAGCCTTGGCCAACATCGTGGCTACTAGCGGACCCACGAGTATCTTTATCGATCAAATTGACGAATATGCTCTCCTGGCAACATGTGCAGAGCTCGAGTTATCGACCATTGTGCGGGATATGAAGTACGGATGTGGAGATGGTGGCGACGGTGCGTTCCAGTCGTTTACTTGTTGTGAGTTTCCATCATAGGATACGACATGCGTGTGAGACATGCTCTGACCTTGTATCTATCCCCTTTTTAGTCTGTTATGAGAGCTCTGCCAAGTTCTCCAGCATGATTGGTGCTCATGTTGCCACCGAGTGTCCTGACGACCCTTCACAGAACACGACTGCATTGGGTGTTTTCAGTAGTTATTGCGAGATTGGAGGGTCTAAATTGGCCGAGATTACTGGTGAGTAATGAGGTGTTTCTGACTTGGAGGGTGACGAACTAACATGATGATGAGCTGCTACAACATCCATACCATCGACAACATCATTACTGTCATCTACATTTGCTTCTCCAGCATCGACGCCACGGTCAGCAACATCTACCCCCCCAACACCGGTATCATCACCTCAGCCAACGGAAGCGACCGAGCAGGCTTCTACTCCTAAGAACAACCGCACGGTTGCCATAGCCGCAGGCGTTGCCGTTCCGGTCGTCGTCCTAGCCTCAGCTTTTGTGGCCTTCTTTTTGTTCCGTCGTCATAAGAACAAGAAGCAGCACAGTAGATTCGATGTTTACGAAGTAGACGCCTCCACGGTGGACGCATCAAAGGCAGGCACATGTCATGAGGTCAGCGATAAAGGGCAAATCGCAGCAGAGATGCCGAACCCGGATCCTCAGGAGTTAGATGGTGAGAGTAGAGGGACATGAGATCGATCCAGTGTTTTGGTAATAAAAGGTCCTTCGAGTTCGGGCTAAGACAGTCAGTATAGTTCTGGGCGGGCTTGGGTCTGTAGAGATACTCTGCCAAAAAAATAACGAATTAGACGCCCCAAAAACTGGAATGTTCAAAAAGGTGTTTCGACATTATAAACGTAAGGGTATTTGGAGGGACTTTGGGGGATTTGCCACAGGATGCATAATGGCCATGCAAATCCACTCGAAGTATTCTGCCATTCCGATCGGTACTATCTACCACATCGGAGAAGCATCGCGGGAGCAGGGCTGTGACTACGTGTACCGACGTTGCGTTTACGCGAACAACGGACGGATCGGTTAATCGCTGTCCGCTCGAACCGTAACGAAGATAGCACGACAAGTTATTAGCGAAGTGGAGATCTTAGTCCACGTCATCTCTTGACCGAGTCGATTAGAGTCGTTCCTTCGCGTATCAGCCACATGACCATGCTAGGTCTGACCAAGATCTTGCCATTTTGTTGTGAGTTGTGGTAAGCCAGTTTCCAGATGCTCCATCCAGCTCGTCGATGCTTCATGACTGCCACCAGCTCTGCTAAATTCGTGCGAGTGGAAAGGGATACTATTTTCAGAAGGGCTGGGCCTCCTTTCATCCAGTCCTATAAGCTCCTCAGACAGCTAGGGAAAGCCGCATAAGTATCCTTGTTCGACCATTGTAGAATGCGGTTCCGCAAAGATGATCCTTCGGGCCGGATGGCAGCGTGTGTATGCTCCGTAGATGCGCATGCTGGAGACAGCCAAATTCCCATCGACTACTAAAATGGCTAGCCGGCGATCGGATCGTCAAACTTAGTTTGTCTCATGTGACACGAAGTAGTACATAGTAATCGTCCTAGAAGCCTGCATGCATACGGTTTTGAACACGAGTCATTGACGCAGCGGGTATTTGCATATTAGATAGTGCCCGTTGAGAATGATCTGGGAAAGCATTGCTGTTGCAAACGCATCCGTACGAGCGACAAGATCGTCATTGTGTCTCTTGATAGGAAAGAATCTCGAGCAGGTTGACAGTCGTTGTATCGGAAATGCTAGAAACGGCAAGCCGGAGTGTCGCTCGGCACCATCTTCGCCTCGATAGAACGGTGTTATGCGGGGTACCGGGGTAGATCCAGCTACCCCGCAAGCTAGACATTCGGAGAGCAATCGTCACGGTCGCATGTGTGTGCGTGGCGTAACCACGGAGTGTTTCCGCATCCAGGCACATCCAGATTGCCAGTCTCATGTCCTAACCCGTGACATATCCGACCCCCTTAGACGTCCGGCCAGATGGGATACTAGAGAAGATCGACAGAGTCTCGAAAGATCATTCGAGTATAGCGGCATCCATGGACGAAACACAATTCGCCCTGGTTGTCGGGCACAAAATCGTTGCAGGATCGCGAGTAGCGTGACGATCATGCAGGATTCGCGTGGGAGGGGTATCTTGTAGATCAAGGTATATAAAGATAGCGTGTCGCCCATACCGTACCCATCAGTGAGATCGACAGCACCCTTTGATTTCTCAATCTTCCCTCTTTTCAAAAACTCTATCTTCACGATGGTCCACTTCCGGA